TCCCTCTGTAAAGTTTACAGGAAGTCGAAGCATGTGTTTGGTCAGATAGTGCGGTGTGGTATGCCTAACCGGTCGCTTACACTATATTATAGAGAACTTTTTTTCCGCAGAGTTTCTTAAAATGAAATGACGAGACTGTCCCTCTGTAAAGTTTACAGGAAGTCGAAATTCGAACTATTATTTTAAACATAATTCCAATTTAATTCTAATAGACTTTTTTTTTTATGACACATTTTTTTTTTCTCTGTGAAACTCTTTTCTGTATGATAAATACACTAATAATAAATACACTAAATTAATAATAAATTAATAATTAATTAGTGTATTTATTAAATTCAAGATGAAATTTGACTCTGGACAATGATTATTATGGATTTTTAAATTTGGACACAATTTTAAGCCCAAAATTTTACAATAGCAAAATTGTTTTTGAACATGTGGAAGAAATATATATAGAAGTTTACCAGTCATAAATGTTTTTTATTTGTAGAGACAATTTTTAAAATTTTTTTATTTTATTTTACCATGTTTTTGTGCTGATTTTTTAACATAATTTTTAATTTTCACAAATTATGTCTAAATTTTCACAAAATAGGTATCTCTTAAAAAAACCTAGATAGACAGAGATGCCAAATGCTCCGGACAAGCCAAAATAATTCATATAACGGTGAATAACTTCTAAATTTTGAAAATATTTAATGATCTTTGCTTACTTTTTAAAAGGTTTAGCATGGATTAACTATAACAAAGTGGCGAATTCTGCAAGCCCTCGAACTATTAAGAAATAGTGGTGGATAAAAACCCTAAAATATTGAATTTATTAAACTAAGAATCACAATTAATGAACTACCATTCAAAAATATTTATTCACTGTCCGGAGCAAGTTGGCATCTCTGGATAGATCCCTGATAGGTTTCCTGCCTTAAAAGATTGCCTATAAAATTCTTCACAATGATTTCAGTTAGTCCCTCCTTATATTTTTCAAATCTTCAGACCTGATGAATTCAAGTCTTTCGTAACAACAATTTTACCTTAGTCTCAGTTGGACTCAGAATTGGCTCAATATGAACATCCACCAAGGGACCAATATGGGGATGTCTAGATTTTTAATATTGGTCCTATATAGGGCCAATATTGGCCTATATACCGCCAATATAGGGTTAATATTGGCTGAATAATGAATCTAAAATATTGGGTGGATCCGACAGCTCTACATAGGTTGTAAAGTGGCAGTAATTAGATAAAAAGCTATAGAGGAAGTTTTTCTTAATAAAATCTGGCCAAATTAATTCAGGAAAAAAACCCAGTTTTTTGGAACCTTATTAGGCAGGGTGCTTGAATATGTCTAAAAAGTTTAAAAACTTTTAAATAAAAAAAAAACTTAACGTGAATAATTAAAAGTATTTAAATTAGAAAACTTTCTCACCGTAAAGTGGCCGACAAAGAAGGCATGCTGACCAAAAACGTGAAGAACATACAAAGAAATATAACACCCAGAAATAATGGACCATGAGTACAATTATTATCACATTTCTCCCGAGTTGCTTGGACAACATACTCAGTTCCACGAAATGTCATATTCATCCCTCCGTGTTCAATGCACGAACAAGATCCATAGGCCTAAAATTAGAATAAGCAGATAATGTAGAAGCATTTTAAAATTTTTTATTTTTTTAACAAAAAGAAAAAAAACATTTCAAACTTACACACTAACTACAAAAGAAATAAACTTTTTTTTATTAACGAATATTTAAAATGTACGAATAGTACATAAACTCTGATTAGGATGTTGCCTCATTCCGAAAAGTAACAAAATAGAAAGTAAACTATTCATGCTAAAACTTTTGATTGTAAACACTACACTTCAAATTTCAAACTCAATTGAATCACTTTTCAAAAATTTAAATTAGTTACGAAATTTGATATAATATATATATATATATANTATATATATATATTGAGTAGCTTTTATGTTAGGAAAATTCTTTATTTTGAAATGCCCCTCATAAAGGGATGCGACATGAATTTTACATTTATTTCATCAAAATTTATAGTATTTCTAAATATGTTCTGCTTATATATAACAAGACAAAAAAGAATTAAAAATAGAGAACTTAACAAAGAAGATTTTTAAAAATAAGAAAAAAAGTTTTGCTAAAAGTTTTTTAAACATATATTTTTATTTATATATAGAAGATAATTTAAACCTTTCAAAAATAATGGAATAAAATATGAAATAAAATAAATCAATAAAATCGTAACTGTTAAGAAATCAGCAGTGTGTTTAAAGAGGTAAACCTCTTTACACAGTTTTTAAATCAACCACTTTAAATTTTGAAAAATTAAGATAAGATAAATCGCATTTTAGATGTTCCTTATTTGGTTAAAATTATTATGGTTTCATTAAACTAAAACTTTGATTCAAATTTTTCAGCCTTGCAAAGTACATAATAGTTAATGATGCATACAAAATCAATATAATCAAACTTTAATAGCAAATTTAAATTTTAAGGCCAAATTTTTCTTTTTTAAAATACTATTCAAAAATTTTATACATCCCCAGGAATTTCATGATCACTCTACAAAAAAACATGTTTTTGTATTTTATGAAGACAAAAACATTAAAACATTTTTTTTTTTTTTGAAAAAAACAAATAAATAAAAAAGGACAATTTGCAAATTGGAAAAAAAATTTCCACTCTAATCCAAGCCCTTAAAAAAGTATCAAATGTTACAACAGGGAGTAAAATAAAATAAACTCAGACTTAAAGACACTTATAATAGAAACTAAAAATATGTTAATCTTGATAAACATTATATTAAATCATTTCACTCAAATATATTTATAATACTAAATAAAATAATGGCTGTAAATAATAAATTTATCACAAATTGGATACCAATGAACTCAAGAAATCACAAATTGGACACCAATGAACTCACACCATGAACCAGCGAAAGACCCAAAAATAGATTTTTAGATCTAAGCAAACAAAATTTAAACATAGAAACTTAAAGCTAAGAACAGAAAGGTTCAGAACCACATTGTTCAGCAAGCCAAAATGCTTAGTCTGTAGAGCTATAAAAGAATTGTAATTATTTATATGATAGAGTAAAAAGAGAGATTAATCTGAAGAAAAAAAATTTGATAACAAAAAATTTTACCTCATTCATAAATATTTCTAAGCATGACTCGAATTTTTTTATGGAAAAAATTATAGTCTAAACCTGGAAAAAGTAGTCTGTTATTTGGGACTACCTATGGTTGTCCCAAATGGTATGGGATACATAACCTTTATTAAATAGAAATATTTATCGGGCAATAAAAAAGTAGTCTTCTCCCATAATTATTTTTGATTTATTAACTACCTTAAAGTCAATAAGTTTTCAAAATAGTTAGTTTTATCTCAGAACTTATATGTTTTCTTTTAAAAGGAAAAAAACTGATTATGCTCCAGTTTCTTAAACAAATTGGTCCAGTTTCTATAAACAGAGCTAGAAGATTGGTCAGGGTTGGTTGATGGAGATATATCCGGCCTGAGATGGTCGACAATGCACCAACAAATTCTAAAATATTTTACTTTCACAAACTAAATCAATAAAATATCACTTATGCTTTTTGTTTCTTAAAAAAATTAAAAATTATAAATAGTATTTTACTTAGTAAAATACTACTTTGAGCTTAAGTTTTATTTTTTGTAGCTGGATATATATCTAGCATAGCTCTAACCAAATGCTTAGCACTGTTTTTCAGGGCTTTATTTTCTACAGCTGGAACAGAGATGACTAACTCTCTGGCATTACAGTCCATGTTGGACCATGGCCTCACTAACAATTTTGCTCCAAAGTCGCCTGTCTCTAGCTCTTTGTTTCCAGTTTTGCACTTTTAGAGTCTTAAGGTCTTTTTTCACCTTGTCAAACCATCTCTTGACCGGCTCATCCCTTTCCTTTGGCCTTGGTACTGCCCCTTGAATATCTTTGTAGTGTCGCTGTTTTCCTCCTAGCCATTGAATTCTCTTTGCTTTTACATAACTTATTATATCTTTTTCTTTAAATAGTCTCGCAATTTCAAAATTGTACCGCCTTCTCTACAGATCACCCTCTCTGACAGGTCCAAAAATAGTTCTAAGAATTTTTCTTTCCCAGGTAATCAGCATTTTTTCTTGTTTCTGGGTTAGAGTTCACATTTCTGATCCATAGATAACGGTTGGTCTGATTATAGTTTTATAAACCTGAAGCTTTGTTTTCCTTGTTATTACTTTTGATGTTAGCAATCTCTTAAGGATCTTAGGAGGGGACAGAAGAAACTCCGATCAGTCCAAATTCACTCACCTTCATGGAACTGGCACCCAAAAAGAAAAAAGAAGACAATGTTTCCTGGCTCGTAACCCCCAAACATTACTGGTACCAGAGCACCCGTCCAGGAGGTGCACTCAACATTCGGTGCAACTACAAGGACCAGTGGCCACCTTAAATCTCTTTCCTTTGAGGGTAGTGTGTAAAAATCTTCCCAAACTGCCCCAAGTGCCACAACATGCATGCTTCTCCCCAACATATCCTGGACTGTCTTGAACTGGACAAGAGGGACATTCTAGAAAACCCACTTTTGGTGGCCGACTTCCTCCGGGTCATTAATTTCATGGACATTGTTTAGCCCTGCTAATTTTGGGGATTAGGAAGAAGAAATCTTTGCTTAATCTCTGGTATAATATCATTGTATTGAGTGACAACTGAACCCAAGTACTTAAATTCCCTAACTCTTTCAAATTTTGTCATTTCATTGATTTGGATAGATGTCAGGTGTATTTTTTCTTGACTAATAGAACTCAGCTGGTAGCCCTCTCTCCAAACTTTAACACCAAAAACTAAAGAGCGGAATTTCAGCACTGATAGTCTTACTCAATTACTTGATGGAATTCAGGCTGATTCTCTAGTCGTTATGTCAGGATCAAATTGACAACCTCGGCTCTTGACTAGCAATATGAGCAAAGCCCCAATAGTCAAAAAGCTATCAGGGGTCTGTCCACGTTGAATTTACTACCGTTTAGCGGTACCTTCACAAATTCAATTTTAGGAAAAACGGTAGTTTCACAAATTCCACTTTAGGAAAAACGGTAGTTTCACAAAGTACTTTTTCTTAAAATTTTATTTTTGTATCCTTAAGAAACGATAAATCTATATTTTTACTATGTTTTTGTGTTGATTTTTTAATATCATTTTTAATTTTTCACATATTATGTCTAAATTTTCACAAAATAGGTACCTCTCAGTAAAACCTAGACAGACCCCTGGCTATAATATTCCACTAAGCTATGTGAGTCAAAAATATAATACAAAATTTTAGGGAAAAAATTCTGGATAATTATTAAGCCTTGAATCCAAAAGTCCAGTCGGAACTTAATAAAAAGAACTGGGAAAGCACTTAAAGAATGAAAAATTACCTTTCTCTCATTTTCTTGATAAACCGTCTGACAGCCAGCAAAACAAGGAGAAAAGTAAATTGTGTTATCTGCACCACAAATTGGATCATAGTTATGATCAGAACAAGTACAGTCAGAATTGCAATCAGACAAAAATTTTGAGCCCATGGTTCTGTAAAATAAATAATTTATTTTAAAAAAACAAAATACATAAGTAAAATTAATTGTTGAAATTAAATATTCAAAATCATAAACAAGATCACAGAGCATCTAAAAACAGAATTATATCTTTTGTTCTGCAACGAGAATTATGATATCGACAAATAATCTGCGAGTACCATCAAAAATAACAAGTTAAATTAACGCAATATATTATATTGTAATACCATCTTTGAACATCTGATCCAATTTTGTTGGGTTTATGACTACCAATGTTCAATTCTGCAGCCTTTGCAATTTTGAACTCTACCCAAAAGACAAGGGAACTCCTGCATCAAGCATTATGAAGAACTAGTCTTCATGGAAGAGTTTTTGATGGAACTAACTCGCATTTGCGTTACATGGAAAAGGAAAACCTCCCACGGTTAGCCTGACGGCAAGGGGACTCTAACCCATGACCCGTCTACCACTGAGGATATTTTTCGTTATCACTGTGGTCAATGCAAGCAGGGTGTGGAATTCATATCAACCAGCCATCACTTTATCCAATGAGACCCCACGGCTCTTTACACAATAGAAAATTACCTTTTAATTATGTTAAGACAGGGTTGCCACTCAAATCTGGAAAAAAAATTCACTGTGTTTTCCCTGTACATAT